CGTTCTTAAAATAAAGTGTCATATTAGTTATTTTATACGACAATACTTAAAAAAGTGTCATACAACACATGTTTTTATAAAATAACTAATAGAATATTTTATTTTACAAACGTCATTAAAAACTTGTTAAAATCCCAAAACGTCCTATAAATCTATTGTAACACTTTTAGATATGACACTTTATAGTTTAGTCATATAAACTTAAGTCCTATAAAATATTTTATTAGTATACTTAAACAAGTTAAGGGTCTATAAACCTAATGTTGTTATAGTAACCGGTCCTAATGGATATTTATTTTTTGTTTCACTTTATAAAATAAAAGTAAACTACAATTTTTGGTCCTTGTGGTTTACACACAACTACGAAGACCGTCCCTAAACTGAAAATAAGTACACTTGTTGTCACTGTTTTTACATTTTGCTTTAGAAATCGTTCCTTTCACTAACTTTGTTAAAAACTATTTCGTTAAATGAGGGGTAACTTTTGTCTTTTCATCCGTTTCTTTAATAATTATTAACAAATTGATAAATATATTTATATTATTTTATATTTAATATATTATCTATACTATTTTACCTTGAACTAAGGGGTTGTTCGGTTTGTTTTATGTTAAGACATGTATGAATATAGTTGTCTGTATTGATATGGTTGTCTGTATATTAACAGATAAGTTGTTCGATTGTTGTGCTGAAATAGTCTGAATGTCAAAAATGTTCATTTTACCCCCAGTCTTTATTTTTGTTTAAATAAAACAACAGTTTGATGAAAATGTTGAACAAATGACTTATAGTTCTAAAAAAATATATCAATTTAAAAGTTTTTCAAATAAATCCAACTTGATTAACATAATTATGAGTTAAATGTTATAATAAAAACAACATTAATAAGTCCTTATAATAAAAACCCAAGTTAACTTTTTGTCGGTTTTCATAAGTCAATTTGCAATATAGCACATGGAATTGTAGTAGTAGATTTGCAATATAGTGAATGGAATTGCAAGCAAATGGATCTTTAAATCATAACTCAAATACTAAATGTGTAGAAATACCTCGTTGCTGCTACTGCTCGGGTCTCAGCGAACAACGGTCGCCGGTGGCGGCGTTCAAGCGACGAAGTTTGCTGCTGCTAGGAGGGTGAAGGTGGACGGCCGACGAGAGGGGTTTGAAAATTGAAATCGATGCTCCTGTGTTCTGTTTGACTGATGAGTTTAAAAATGTACGGGTGGTTGTGGCGGTGGTGGTCGGGGCGGAGGGAGTTGGGACTCATTACAAGGAATGGATCGTCAAATAAGGCGAGGTTGACGATGAAAGGTGCAATTTTGGGGGAAAAGAGGGAAAGGATAGATTTGGAATAAAAGGTTGAATAAGTGGCTGAGTAAATAGCACTATACTTTTTTGGCTGACCGGTTAAACTATCGGCTAACCGAATAAGACAAAAGCGAACAACAATATATGGCCGACCGAATAAGCCATACAAACTTAACAGTCCAATTAAGCCATTACCCGAACAACCCTTAAATCTAAAACCTATATATATATATATATATATATATATATATATATATATATATATATATATATATATAGATGGTAAAACTATTTTGATAGTTTAAAGGAAGATACATCGTGATTTTAATATTTCATTTTATTATTTATCTCAGTCGATGTTAATATGGCTTTATGTGATTTTGAAAAAGCGATGATGTTTTTATTTTTGAATAAAATATATGTTTGATATTATCATAAAAATTTGACAAAAATATATCGATATTAGTATCAAATTAACTATTTGAAATTCCTCATTTTTTTGTATAATTTTTTAATTCAATTTTTTATAATTTAATTTATGCAGAATAACGAAGTAATTTATATTTAGTTTAATAATATGATTTTTTATAAAGATAATAATTATTTATTTTGTTGCAACTCGATAATTATTCTAATTATATTTTAGATTTTTTTATATTTTAAAATGGGATGTTCATCCTCTATTTGATTATGTTTATCCGCAGTTATTTATACGAATTCAAACTTCGCACTTTAATAAGTTGTACTTATGCATAATTACTTGTAATCTTGAATTTTAAGTAATTTGCATCAATATACAATACTTTATGCATAACAAAAATATATCGATATTCGTATCAAATTAATTATTTAAAATTCCTCATTATTTGTTTAATTTTTTTATTATAATTTAATTTAGGTACAATAACGAAATAATTTATATTTGGTTTAATAATATAATTTTTTTATAAAGATAATAAT